AGATTACAAGTTATATAAAATGGCCCAGATGGACAACTACTGTGACCCTTATAGACAGAATAAAGATTTTTTTAATGTATACCTACAATACATGTATAAGATTACAAGTTATATAAAATGGCCCAGATGGACAACTACTGTGACCCTTACCGACATAATTTTTCTATTGCATATCTATAATACAAACATAAGGTTATAACGGTTATATTAAATAACCCAGATGGACAACTACTGTGACCCTTACCGACATAATTTTTCTATTGCATATCTATAATACAAACATAAGGTTATAACGGTTATATTAAATAATCAACCAGCTACTAAAAGTTACCTCCTAACTGGATGTTTGTAAAGTTTGTGTCTGCTTGTACAAACTGCAGATGTAAAAAACTTTTTTATTTCCAATTTATCATTCAGTAAAACTAGTATTCGATTCAGTCCACAAATCACTTAAGAAATTTTGTTAATTTATAACAGAATTGTTCTGTATTGAGATATGAGTAATACTTATTGTAGATTTCTCTACCCTGTACAAGTTTTAGGTATCTTTATGCAATACTTATTGTAGATTTCTCTACCCAGTACAAGTTTTGGGTATCTTTATGCAATACTTATTGTAGATTTCTCTGCCGTATTTTGACTAATAGGCTTCTGGTAACATTCAATCTCTCTGGTAGCTGAAGCAGATATGAAATACTTTTTCACTGGTTGAAGGCAGGAAGGATTGTGTTAGTGCTGCATATTCTAGTATGTCATCCCATTGTCTTAGTTAATCCTATGGTGGTGGCTTGTATCTTCTGCACATTGAGTTTTTACAGTTTCATACAGTTACACTTCCAAAATTTCCATAAACAACTTTATTATTAACTTATGTCAGTAAAATTAGTATCAGAATTAGTTTTCAAGTCAGGTTTTTATATTGTGTAAATATTAATTTCAAAATAAAATAATTAAAAAATTCTTAGTCTACATAATCACATGCAAGTGCTCCCAGTTTTCTCCTTTTGGTTAGTATAACTCCAGTAACCCAGTCTGTGTTATGCAGACACAATCTGTAAACAATTCCGATGTCTTTTGTACAGTTTTAATGTTCCAACTTCTTCATTTAGTGAAATACCAATACATTTTCCAAACCCATGACAGAAGCCCTGCCCATCTTTCCTTCACTTTCAAGAAGGTTTTCAAAGCCATATCATCTTATTTGATGTACTTGTTTCTAACTAATAAAAATAGCTTATGATCAGTTTTAAACTTGCAAGAGTCCTTTGGAAATTGGCAGCATTATATATTAACAAGACATCTATATTTTGTAAATTATCAGTGAGCAAAGTTGGCACTCATAGCATATGACAGTTGTTATCTTGTAATTAGGAAAGACAGTTAACAAGGCTTAGCTCACTAGGCAATGAGTGCAGAACTTCACACATGTAACAGGTGAGTGTTTGGGAATCTGGTAATGTCTTCTCACTCTGATTTGTTTGTTTGAAGCATATGTTGTAAATCATACAAGCCAGACAATAAAAACTATAAAATTAAAAATATGTAAAAAGATTAATCAATACACTGTTTAGCCTAATATATCATCCAGTTTTGTTAAATGTAGCTCTTTATAACCATTTATTCTGATATTGAAATTGTTTACAGACTTTTAGAGTGCACATATGTGTTATGTATTTTGTACTACTGTATAGCTGCATGATTTCATTTAGAGATTTTGTATTATAGAAACTTTTTTTGTTCTTTTAAAATGCTGAGACCCAAATTTCATGTCCTGTTCTATTTATATGTATACTACCATGAATTTTTGAACTTAAAAACCATAAGATGTTAATGAAATACAGAAAATATGTTTAAAATATGTAACTAATTGCTATAATTGGTTTTCTAGTATGAATCACTGTCTCCAGAACTCCTTCTAAAAGCCAAACAACTTGGGTTTTCTGATGGACAGATAGCTAAATGTGTTGAAAGGTAGGGCCAAAGAAGAAATAATCAAAATTGAACTATTGTTTTAGGTAATGTGAAAATTATTGTCATATAAATTTTGTCAAATATCTGTAAGGGAGCAGTTTCTCTGAAAAACAAACAAACAAAAACTTTATGCAACCTACCTTAATTTATAGCTCAATAACATGTAGATAATATATTGACTATTGAATTTTGAAGGATCAGTTTCTTTTAATTTTTTTCTGTTTTGTACTGCATATGTTTTACATTCAGCTTTCCTCACAAAACTTTGTTTTGATTAATTCTGTTATATTTCCAGTATTCTTGCCATAAAGATACCCAAAACTTGTACAGGGTAGAGAAATCTA